GACGCACTAGCACCTAGAGCAGCAGCCGCTATACCTGGGTCAGGTGGCACACACCGGTAACAGTCACCCTCAGCACTAAAAGACAAAGCATACATGGCAGAGATAATAGCATCATAGTCTAGGTCAAAGATAGCAACTCCCGACCTAAGCATCTCCGCCCAGCGAGGGCGTTCGACGTCGTCACCAAACTCAGCACGCCAGGCGTCGTCAAGGCGGGCGAAGCAGCGGTGCTCAGTGTGAAGCCTCCCGCATGTCTGGCCCGCACGGACACCCGTGCGAATGACATACGGGCAGCTCTCACTACCCCCACCCGGCCCACGCTGAACCAACCACTCACGGAGCTGCTGGGGCGACTGGGTCTCGCTGCGACGCTGCTGGTGCTACCGCTGACCACCACCAGGGCCTCCATGCCGAGGTCCAGACCTACCACCACCAGTCCCACCGCCTCCACTGCCGCCACTCCCTCCGCTGCCTCCACCACCGCCACCAGAGCCCCCACTCCCGCCACCAGTCCCACTGCCTCCACCACCTCCACTGCCGCCCCCACCACCGCTCCCGCTGCCCCCACCACCGCTCCCGCCGCCACCTCCACCACCACCGCTGCCACCTCCACCACCCCTGCCACCCTTGCCCTTGCTGCTGCGGCGCTTTGCACTAGTCGAAGTAGCGCCGACGTCCCCAGTAACAGAGACGTTTGCAGCAGCAGCAGAGGCGAAGGAGGGGGAAAGGGGGGAGGGGGAGCACCCCTCAAAGAAGGGCGAGCGCGGAGTGCCATGAGCAGCACCTACAGCAACTACACTAGTCTCAGCTGCGAGGAGATGCTGCTCGAGGAGGTCAACCGTGAGGGAGGTGGGGTCTAGGGAGAGAAAGTGGTCCCTGACAGAGCGAAGAGAGTCAGGGAGGCGAGAGACTATGAAGTAGAGGGTGATTAACATGGGGGGCTGGTTCGTGGCAAGGAACTCAGCAGGGACTGTAGCTCGGTAGCGAGCGTCGCTAGTGCGCAGGTGGGTAACCAGGTCTGCTACCGTGGCAAAAGCCGACAGCTCAGGGAACAGGTAGGGCAGTAGCAGTCTGCCTAGAGCAGCAGTGGCAGGGGAGGAGTAGCGAGCAACGACAGCATCGTACATGGCCTGTGCTGTCCTGTGCTGTCCAAAGTGAGTACATTCGGCCACCGGCAGGTGGTTGCGAATGGCTAAGCGGGCAGTAGCGTCACGAGATAGCCACTGGGAACGAGTCGAACCGTCAGCGGTGGCGGGAGGGGCTGGAGCGACACCCGACACGTGGTCAAACAGCGAGACACTGTCCTTAATATCGCTCAGTAGGTACAGTTGCAGATCTTCGTGCCACGTGTCAAATGCAACCGGTCTGCCCTCGTGATCAAACGCTAGGACTCGAAGCGAAGCCATAGTGGCGCAGTACTCCGGAGCAGCAGTAGCAGCAGTAGCAGTAGCAGCAGTAGCAGTAGGGGCCAAGGGGCGGGGCCGAGGGGCCTAGGGGCCGAGGGGCCAAACACGAGGGTGGCGGGGCCGAGGGGCCGAGGGGCCTAGGGGCCGAGGGGCCAAACACGAGGGTGGCGGGGCCGAGGTCTGAGGGGCCAAGGGGCGTAGGGGCCTAGGGGCCGTGGGGCCAAACACGAGGGTGGCAGGGCCAAGGGGCCGAGGGGCCAAGGGGCATAGGGGCCGAGGGGCCGAGGGTCCTAGGGGCCGAGGGGCCTAGGGGCGGGGCCTAGGGGCCGAGGGGCCAAACACGAGGGTTGCGGGGCCGAGGGGCCGAGGCGCCTAGGGGCCGAGGGGCCAAACACGAGGGTGGCGGGGCCGAGGCGCCTAGGGGCCGACGGGCCAAACACGAGGGTGGCGGGGCCGAGGGGTCGAGGGGCCAAGGGGCGTAGGGTCCGGGGTTGAGGGGCCTAGGGGCCGCGGGGCCAAACACGAGGTTGGGGCCTGGAACGACGGGCCACGGGGCCAGGTACGAAAGGGGCCGGGGGGGCGTGAGCGACGGGGCCTAGGGGCTGGAATCGACGGGGCTGCGGGGCCGTGAGCAACGGGGCCTAGGGGGCCTGGAACGACGGGCCGCGGGGCCAGGTACGAAAGGGGCCGGGGGGCCGTGAGCGACGGGCCGCGGGGCCAGGTACGAAAGGGGCCGGGGGGGGCTGTGAGCGATGGGGCCTAGGGGCCGGAACCGACGGGGCCGCGGGGCCGTGAGCGACGGGGCCTAGGGGGCCTGGATCGACGGACCGCGGGGCCAGGTACGAAAGGGGCCGGGGGGGCGTGAGCGACGGGCCGCGGGGCCAGGTACGAAAGGGGCCGGGGGGCCGTGAGCGACGGGGCCGCGGGGCCGTGAGCGACGGGGCCTAGAGGCCTGGAACGACGGGGCCGCGGGGCCGTGAGCGACGGGGCCTAGGGGCCGGGAACGAAGGGGCTGCAGGGCCGTGAGGTGGCGCGACGGGCCTAAGGGGCGCGACGGGCCTAGGGGCGCGACGGGCCTAGGGGCGTGACGGGCCAAGAGGGGTACTAGCAGCGTAGCAGGTGGTGGGCCCAAGGAACCTGCTCTGATTCCATGTCAAAGTTACGAACGAGAGTGAATGAACTATGAAACAGTTGGGTACAAGTACTAACCCTAATTGGGTTGTACCCCTTATGGGCTACCCCACTACAACCTACACAAATGTATAGACTATAATGTTCTGACACACGGATGCGACACAGACCCTAATCAAGCCTGTTAGCTGCTGAAGTCCGTGTACGGCATCAAGCAAGCTCCGCGGCTGTGGCAGCAGTACCTACACGCCCGATTAATCCGCATTGGCTTTCAGCAACTACCACACGACCAGGGCATGTACAGACTCACGAAGGAAGCCGAATACATCCTGCTGACTGTGTACGTAGAAGACCTGCTCTACATAGGCTCTACCGACGACATCACCACCTGGTTTGAAGGGGAGCTGCAACATGATCTCTCTCTCTCTCTCTCTCTCTCAGTCTCTTCCACCGTAACCCAGTTCCTGGGACTCAACATACTCGACGGAGAGATCGCGATCTACCTCAGCGCCGCAAAATACGCCGACACAATCGCCAAACGCTTTGGATTATCGCCAGCCGCCATATCCACGCCCTATCGCTACACCGCCGGAAATCACCAGGAAAAGTCTAATCTGCTCGGACCTGCCAGACTACGCGACTACCAGCGGAAACTTGGATGCTTACTCTTCGCAGCCGTTACCTGCCGACCAGACCTGTCGTACTCAGCGAGCCAGCTTGCTACCTATCTCAAACAGCCCGAAGCAGAGCACATGGCGGAACTCGACCGCGCGCTACACTACCTCGTCAGCACACCTACGATCGGCCTAACCTACCACAAGACCGGAACCACTACTCCAAAACTAATCGGCTACGTGGATGCTGACCACGCAGGCGATTCTGACAACAGGCGATCGCGCACCGGCTACATCTATCGACTTGAGCCCGTCGGTCCTATCTCGTGGCAGTCGAGCAAGCAAGAACTAATTGGTCTCTCCTCTGCTGAAGCCGAATACATTGCACTCTGCTCAGCCATCAAGGAAGGACTATACCTTCATGAACTACTGGAAGAAGCAAAGTTGGCCCAATTACCCCGCTTCTCCCTCTTCTGCAACAACCAATCTGCAATTCGCATAGCGAACAAGAGCGGGTTCGCGAGCCGAACAAAGCACATTGCCCTACGCTATTTCTTCGTGAGATAGAGAATTGGAGACTCGAGCTATCCTACTGCCCCACGTCCAAGATGGCAGCAGATTACCCGACCAAGAAACTCGGAAAGTAGAAGTTCGAGTACTGCATGCTGCTGACTGGACAGGGCCACGTCACCAGCAACGAAGGCGATGACACTCCAGAAGCGAAGGGGAGTGTTGGAAACATCTAGTTTGCACTTCTGAAATGTCGAACACTACAACGTAAAGCGAAGCGGACTACAACTAAGTAACGGCGAGTCAACCAAAGCGGTTGACAAGAAGACGACAGCAAGAGGTTAAGTGAAGGTCAAAAGTGAGCGACCTTTGACTCGCCGAAAAGCAGCGCAACAGCAAGGACACTTAATTGACTCTCTATTGAGCAGTTACCCAAGTCGCCGATGTATCGAACCGCAACATCAGTTACAGTTAAACCTTTCGTATTCCTTGTAATCATATAAAAACTTTGTATCTCTTTGCTATAATCAACTCATCTTGTGCTCACATACTAGTGCAAGGTGGTCCAATTGGTTTACTATTACGCTTCCGCTAAATACATCACTACTCTGAGACTCTAGTCTTGAAAACGATAATAATTTCAGGCTTCAGTAGCCCCTTTTCTAAATGCTGCTACTCTCCACAAGCGTATTTCTCTGCGCCAGCCCAAGCCCTTCTGCAACCCTTCCCTAGCAAAGAGTAGCAGGTGAAGGGACCATATTGTATCAATAATTCCACCTCGTGATACAGCCTCACTGTCAAGTCATCCCCTTGTATTCTTTCCCACGCGCTGAGGGCTCGTGGCGGGAGGCCTCCTTGACCGACACTTATTCCACCAAACCAACAAAAGAAACAAAGCGCGCGCGGTGCCATGAGACTGCCACCGGCACCAAAATCGGCCCCAGACCTGCCCCATACCTGTCGCAGACCTGTCCCGGACCTGTTCTAAAACTGCCTCCTGCTTGCGTCTCATTACACCCACCCTCACGAAACCTTTCCTCTCTCCTCCTGTGAGTCACAGAATGCTCAAGTCACAACAATACCCTCCTCCGTCCTCCAAAACCCAGCCCTCCTTCATCCTCACATCAGACCCTCCATCCTTACGCCTCTCACATCAATACCCTTGTCTCCCTTCCCCTCTCACATCAATACCCTTGTCTCCCTTCCCCTCTCACATCAATACCCTTGTCTCCCTTCCCCTCTCACATCAATACCCTTGTCTCCCTTCCCCTCTCACATCAATACCCTTGTCTCCCTTCCCCTCTCACATCAATACCCTCTTCTCCCTTCCCCTCTCACATCAATACCCTCCTCGTCTCTGTGCCTGTCGGCCTGCATAGCCTCTCTCTTCCCGCCCATACCCATCCCTATCTCTCTCCCTGTATGACACATCCCTGTCCCGATACGATCCATCTCTCTCCCTTCCATAATCCCTCCCACCACTCTCCCTATAATCCCTCCCTCCACCATCCCTCCCATAATCCCCCCCCCCTTCACCACTCTCCCTCTCCCTCCCATACTCCCTGCTCCCCCCACTGTCCCTCTCCCTCCCATAATCCCTCCCATACTCACTCCCATCCCGGCTCGAATACTCACTCCTGCCGCCCCCACTCCCATAATCATCGTCTGAAAACCCTCTGCTCCGTGGGGCCCCTCCTGCTGCTTCACTCCTAGGGCTTCGACCCGCGGCTCCCCTCCCCCCTGGTCTCGCACTCCTAACCCCCCCATCATCATCATACATATCATACTGTCCCTTCACTGCTGGTCTCCTCTCCTCATCCAAAGCCCCTCTCCCCGTGCCCTGCTGCTGTTGGGATAACCCCCCATCCCCCTGCTGCTGCAGAGCTGGTATAGTTGGAGACAAGGCAGCAGCAGTTGTAGAACCACCAGCAGCAGCAGCAGGACTAGCGGCAGCAGGAGCGGCAGAGGAGGCTGCAGCGATGGGATCGTCGGGGTCTTCTTGGGAGAAGGAGCGGCGGTGGCGGCTGGGCGAGTCAGTAGGGGACGCTGCTGGGCTGGCTGCTGCTGCCAGCTCCTCTATAGCCTCCACACACTTGTGCTCGTACCACCAGTCCTCCTGCAGGAGACTGTAAAGGATAAGGAGGGGAAAAGGAAAGGGAGTTGGTGATGGAGGGAGGCGGGATGGAGGTGGGTAAAAGGGGTCTTCTGAGCAAGTGAGACTACTGCTGCTGCGACCTCCTCTATAGCCTCCATGCACTTGTGCTCGTACCACCAGTCCTCCTGCAGGAGACTGTAAAGGATAGAGAGTGGAAGAAGGGGAGATGGGTGATGGGGGGCGGGGGCGGGGGGGGAAGGGAGGCTTCTAATGCCTTGTGCAAGGAAGCACAACCGCACCAACAGGAAGAACATGCGGCACCTGTCTGGACCTAAGCCCTCACCTGTTGGGGTTGCCCCCCGCCTGGTCGGTGAACAACATGATGGCTTTGGTGGCGCTGGCCTCTGCCACCTTGCCGGCCCCTGCCCTCCATGCACTGAGTACGCACTAGTGTGCTTGGATTGATGGCATTATTCACCTACTGGTGTCGAGGCGCTCACCTGTTGGGGTCCCCTCCAGTCTGGTCAGTGAACAAAACAGTAGCCTTGGCTGGTAGCGCTGTCCTCTGCCACTTTGCGCATGCAGCTATGATCACGTGGTGCCCAGTTGACTTTTGAGTCGACTCAAAAGTCAACCCAATGCGTAACGAAATGCCTTGGCCATGTAAACCAACAGAAAAAACATAGGGAACCTGTCCGAACCCAAAAATTCACCTGTTGGGATCCCCTCCCGTCTGGTCAGTGTAGAGCACGATGGCCTTGGTGGCGCTGTCCTCTGCCACCTTGCGCATGGCCCGGGAGGAGTACTTTCCCGCCTTGGCCACCTGCATCACGAAATACATGTCAAACACCAACTGGTGGGGGGGGGGGAGGGAGGAGAAGAAGAGGGGATGGAGTGGGGAGGACAGAAGTAGGGAAGGAGAATGAGTGAGTCCAGGTGTGCGTATTGCCCTGCCTGCATGAATGCTTGCCTGCCGTGCCACCTGCATGCCCACCCCTCACTGCTGAAGCCCCCACACAACCACACTTACAAGGAAGTTAGGAGCAGCACATCATGAGCCCCCATGTGAAGCCCACACACACAATCACACAATCACACACACCATGCAGCAAGGCCGCACCTGCTGCAAGCCCGTGGGGCCGTGAGCATACTCGGCGTTCTGAAGCTCGTCCCAGAAGGAGCTGCAGACCATGAGGCCCATCATGAGCCACTCGGTGAGTGAGAGACAGGAACTTCCGCTTCTGACTCGCCTATCATCACCATCCCCATCCTGCCACACAAACACACACTAAAGCCGCACCTGCTGCAGGCCCGTGGGGCCGAGGGCGTATTCAGCGTTCTCAAGCTCGTCCCAGAAGGAGCTGTAGACCATGAGGCCCATCATGAGCCACTCGGCGAGGCGCATGAGCAGCAGCGTGACCACGCGGTCGCGCCCTCCCAGCACATACGTGGCGGTGGAGTGGATGGAGTGCAGCGCCATGTAGAGCGCCTGGGGGGGAAGGGAGGGAAGGGGGGTTGGGAAGGTGAGAGAGGCGCGTGTTTGATAGGGGGTAAAGGCAACACTGTAACACCACGCTGCAGCGTTACCACCACCATGCGGTCGTGCCCCTCCCAACCCAACCCAACCCAACCCAGAACAGAAGTGCAGAGCCACGTCGAGCGCCTGGGGGATGCAGTGACGAAAGGAAGTGAGACCTGCGTGTTTGGCAACATCCTAGGCAGCAAATGCTGACCTGGATAGCGGCCACTGACCTGGACAACAGACGGTGACCTGGACAACAGACGCTGACCTGGACAACAGACGCTGACCTGGACAACAGACGCTGACCTGGACAACAGACGCTGACCTGGACAACAGACGCTGACCTGGACAGAGCAGATGCTGACCTGGAAGGGCGGGGAGGGCAGGGGTTTGAGGGCCCACTGGGTGGGGCGCATCTTGGCGTCCATGTGCAGGTACTGGTGCGCGGTGAGGATAGGCTGGCCGTCGTGGCCGTACATGAACTCCGCCACCAGGCACGAGCACAGCACGTCCCTCAGCTTGTCCACCGCCTTCTGTAGCCGCCTCCGCCATTCCTTGTGCTCCGCCGCGTTGCTGTGAGTGTAGGAACGGGTGAGAGGAATGGGGGGAGCTGGTGGGGAGGGAGGAAACTGCTGATTCAACTCAGCAGTCAGCTGCCCTGCCGCCGCCACTCCTGTCGCTCCACTGAATTGTGAGGAGATGGTTCCAGAAGGCTGTAGAGAAAACCCTCCGGCTATGGAGTTTGGTCACAGCGAACGGATGTGACCAATTTTACCAGCTCCCTCAATTACGAACGGCACAACGGCACTATGGATGGATGAAGTCCCTGTCAGTGAGCTGAGACATAGTGAGACATGTCTGAAACTCGCGTGGAACGGCACAACGGCACTATGGATGGATGAAGGAGTCCCTTCAAAGGAAAGGGAAGCGGGCGGGAAAGCTTCGGTTTGGGGAAAGGAAGCCAAGCGGGATACAACGAGGAGGTAGAGTGAATGGGATAAAGAAAGAGCTTTCAGAGAGAGAGAGGAAGGCGCACCGTCCGCCAGCAGACAGCCTCCTGTCTGGATCCGCCCCGCCCTGCTTCCTCCCCGCTCGCCCCCCTCCCCCGCCACCTTCCTCCCCAGCGGCCAGCGTGAGCCTCTGAGCCAGCCGGGGCAGCAGATCATCCGCCAGAGCCGACGCGTTCCCCAGCAGCGCCAGCTGCTGCTGCTCGTCCTCTGCCGTCCTCACACTGCCGTCCTGCCACGGCTCCTCCCCTGCTCCGTTCTCCTTCTCCCCACCCTTGTCCTTCCCTCCTTCCCCCACGTTCCCCCCGTCCTCCTCCTCCTCGTCGTCGTCAGAGGGCGAGGGGAGGGCCTTTTGCAGCAGGGCGACGTAGGACTCGAAGAGGGAGGCTAGGCGGTCGAGAATGCGGCCAAACAGCTGCAGGCTGATCACCGGCAGGATATCCTCCACTAGATCCTGATGTGTGACAGTGAACAGTGGGGAGGGGTGGGGAGGGTGGAGGGTGGAATGAGGGGAAAGAACAGGGCCTTGTGCAGCAGCGCGACGTAGGACTCGAAAGGGAGGCTAAGCGGTCGAGGATGCGACCGAACAGCTGCAGGCTGATCACCGGCAGGATATCCTCCACCAGGTCCTGGTGTGCGGTGGGGAGGGTTGGGGAGGGATGGGGTGGGGTTGGGTGGGTGGAGGGTGGAATGTGGGGAAAGAGCAGGCACTTTTGCAGCAGGGCGAGGTAGGACTGATGTGTAAAAGTCCTGATGTGAGGGGTCGAAGAGGGACGCCAGGCGGTCGAGAATGTGGCCGAACCGAACAGCTGCAGGCTGATCACTGGTAATATGTCCTCCACTAGGTCCTGATGTGCGGTGGGGATGGGGAGGGGGGAGGAGAGGGAATGGGGGTGGGGGGGGTTGATGACAAGAGAGGGGGGGAGGAGGGAGTAATGATGCAGGCTGATCATCGGGAGGAATCCCTCCACGTGTAGAGTAGAGAGGGTGTTTTTGAGACGTCTCAAAAACACCCTCTCTACATGATGCAGGCTGATCATCAGGAGGAATCCCTCCACCAGGTCCTTATGTGCGCCGTGGGGATGGGGGTAAGGGGGAAAGGGGGGGGGAAGGGGAAACGGGGGAATGAGATGGGAGGGGGGAGAGCAATGAAATGAATAGGTGATCACCGGCAGGAAGGATGTCCTGCACCAGGCCTGGCCTGGTGTGTGCCTTGGGGTGGAGGTTGGACGGAACGGAATGGTGGAGAAGGGGAGGGAAGAAGAGGGAGGGAGTGATGAAGCAGGTATAAGCGCTGGCCACTGGACAACCTCAGGTGCATGAGCCCCGGGCCCAGCCACAGCTGCAGCGCGCGCACCCTGCCAGTGGCAGCAGCTCTTTTCCTGGCTAGCTGATAGACATAACAAACACACACACACACACGCACACGCACACGCACACGCACGCACGCACACACACACACACACACACACACACACACACACACACACACACACACACACACACACACACACACACACACACACACACACACACACACACACACACACACACACACACACACACACACACACACACACACACACACACACACACACACACACACACATCAACCCCACACCTTCTCATAATTCCATCCATACACTTCCCCAGCACTCACCACGAGCAAGAGGTAGAACCGCTGACCGCTGCTCGAAAGCCGCAGGTGGATCAACCCCGGGCCCAGTGTCTGCTGCAGTGCGCGCACCCTGCCAGTGGCAGCAGCGCCGTGAGGCAGCGGCAGCAGCAGCCAGAAGGTAAAAACCAACCACTCACCACTCACCACTCACCACGAGCAAGAGGTAGAACCGCTGACCGCTGCTCGAAAGCCTCAGGTGCATCAACCCCGGGCCGAGTGTCTGCTGCAGGGCGCGCACCCTGCCGGTGGCAGCAGCGCCGTGGGGCAGCGGCAGCAGCACCCAGTCATCCACGGCCACCATGGTGGCGACCGAGTCCTCTATGCGGATAATGTTGAACTCGAGCGCCTCCTCCACGGACGGACGCACGAGCTTGGAGAGCACAGGTGAAAGAGTCAAACCTTGCTCTTCCAATAGCCTGCAAGGCAACGGCATGGCATGGCATGGCATGGGGGTTGGAATGGGAGAGGCATAGGGGTCAGTACGGCATGGGGCAGCGGCAGCAGCACCCAGTCATCGACGGCCACCATGGTAGCAACAGAGTCCTCTATACGGATGATGTTGAACTCCAACGCCTCCTCCACACTGGGCCGGACGAGCTTCGACAGCACTGGAGAGAGAGTGAGGCCTTGCTCTTCCAGTAGCCTGTAGGGGAGGGGGTAAGGGGAGGGGCAGCATGGCATGGGGGAGGGGCAGCAGCAGCCAGTGGTCCACAGCCACCATGGTGGCCACCGAGTCCTCTATACGGATGATGTTGAACTCCAACGCCTCCTCCACACTGGGCCGGACGAGCTTTGAAAGAACAGGTGAGAGGGTAAGTCCTTGCTCTTCTAACAGCCTGCAGGGGAGTGGGTGGAGAGGGAAGGACAGCACAGCACAGGGGTCAGCACAGCATGGGGGCAGCAGCAGCAGCCAGTGGTCAACGTGGGCAGCAACACCCAGCCCCACCTGCCACCACCTGCAATGGCCCAGAGCGATGCGCACGCATTCAGCGGCAGCAAGCAGCCCGCCAGCAGCGGCAGCCGACGAGAGCACGTGGCACTGAGCAGCGAGACACCGAACTCCCTCTCCCTCTGCGCCCACAGCAGCAGGTCCCAACCACCTTCCCACCTGCCATCCACCTGCCACCCACCTGCACTGCCCCACCCCACCCACCCACCTGCAGTGGCCCAGAGCGATGCGCACGCATTCAGCGGCGGCGTGCAGCCCGCCAGCAGCAGCAGCGGAGGAGAGCACGTGGCGCTTGAGCAGCGAGACACAGAACTCCGTCTCCCTCTGCGCCCACAGCAGCAGATCCGCCGCACACGCCGGGTCCGATGCAAATATGCGCGCCGAGTCCGTGGCTGCTTGAGATATGGCCGAGAACACCAGCTGGGGGGGGTATTGGGGGGTGAATTGGGAGGTTTGGGAGGGGAGGGGAAAGTGGGGTTTGGAAGGGGAGGAAGGAGGCGGGGAGGTGGGTTACTGGCAACAAGACATATCAGATCCGCTTGAGTACGTGGCTGTCTGGGAGATGGCAGAGAACAGCAGCTGAGGGTGCGTGGGAGGGGAATGGGCGAGGGAGAACTGGGGGAAGCAGTGGCGAAATGGCAAAGGGGATGAGCGAGAAATAAACACGCCCTCTCCCTCCCCACGCCCTCTCCCTCCTTACGCCCACCCTCCCCACCCCACGCACGCCCTCCCCCTCCTCTCGCACTCACCTGCGCCAGGGCAGCAGTGTACGCGCCACCAAAGCTGGTCCCGCGGGGGCGCAGCAGGCGGGATCCGCTCCTAATCCGCTCCCCGTACGCGCCCAGCAGCAGCTGGTGTGCGCACTCGGTCTCCCCCAGGCGGTACAGCGCGCCCACGGCCTGGCGCAGCTCCTGTCCGCGCACAGCCGCCTGCTGCGCCGTCTCCTCCAGCTGCGCCATAAGCCACGCGCGCCTCTCCGCAATCGCCGCCGCCAGCGCGTTCGCCGCGTCCGCGCTGAGAATCTCCTCGTCCTCCCCGCCCGCTCCGCCTCCCCCTCCCCCCCTCCCCCCGCCTCCGCCTCCGCCCCCGCCCGCCCCGTCCCCTGCTGTCGCCAGCGCCAGCTGCACGATCTGCTGCCCTTGCTCCAGCAGCTCTATAGCGCGGTCGACCTTCCGCTCCGCTATAAGAATATCCAGTATATCCGGGAGCGCCTCCGCGTATTTCTCAATCTCGGTGGGCTCGGGGACCTCCACGCTCCAAATCCGCTCGTCCTCCTCCTCGTCCTGCTGCGGGGTGGCTAACGAGGACGCGTACGACGAGGACGAAGCGCCAGCGAAGGTAGACGAAGTACCAGCGGTGGTAACCGACGAAGTGGTAGACGCAGGAGTCGAACCCCCACCACCCCCACCCGCGGAAGTGCTATTACTATTGTCGTTGCTCATGCTATCCGCGGCGAGGGAGTGGATGAGCGCGGTCTGCACGGAGAGGAGGTTCTTCATCTGCTGCAGCTCCACCTCCAGCTCCGCGATCTCCTTGGACGTGCCGATGAACGCCGTGTAGTTGGCGAACACGCTCTTGCGCATCTCGTCCGCTGACACCCGCCGGTAGTCCGCCAAGTCGCCCACCAGCAGCCGCACGCCCTGCAGGGCGTAAGGGGGGGAGGATAGGGGGGTGCCGGGAGGGGAATAAGCGGGGATGCGATGAAGGCGGTGTAGTTGGCGAACACGCTCTTGCGCATCTCGTCCGCCGACACCCGCCTGTAATCCGCCAAATCCCCCACCAGCAGCCGCACTCCCTGCGGGGGGAAAGAGCGGGAGGGCCACGGGGGGATGCGGGGAGATAGATAAGGAAGGTGGGAATACGGTTGTATGATCAGAGCAGGGGAGGAAGGAAGCGGGGAGGGGGGGAAGGGGGGGGCGGGGGGAGGGGGTGGTGGTGGGGAGGAAAAGAGAGCTGACGCTTATGCCACATACCCGTTCATCCATTATCTGCATCTGGTCGTCCACATACTTCTCCGCGTCGAACTTGTCGTGCGAGAAATTCATCTTGCCGACTCACTGCCACGCCGAATGCCCGCGGAATGAGAGAGCCTCGAGACGCGATACAAACCAATACGTAGCGCTCTACAGCAGTTCGCAATTAACCGAGGAAAACCCTACGCGCCAGTAGCACACCGGACCTGGTGCCGGAACGCGAAGGGCTACACGTGTATCCTGAGGTAAAACGTCTTAATGTCTTGTCCTGCGGTAATTTAAACCTAATGCTAGCGCTGGTAGATATTCGCTGGCCGAAGGTCGGGAAACTGAGCACTGGAATCAAAGAGTTCTTACAAAAACTGATGGAAACCTAAAATTGGAATTTCCGAGTACAAGGTACTGGCTTTCGCACGAAGCTAACCAAGTCGCCGCCATGCTACCATCGAGTTATGAGTCTGGCTGACGATAACGAGCCGAGGTGTGGAGGCGCCGCCACTGCGGCAACGCCATGTTAACTACCGAGACATCAACGACGCGCGGATTGTGAAGCTGAAAGGTAAAAACTCTGGCATAAAGAAAATGTTAATGTTCGGTCTCTCGACACGTTGCGGACCACCAGCGTTTTGTCACCAGCAAGGCCAGCAACTTCTCTCGCTAACGCCTCCGCCAAAATACATGAAACGCTGGCGAATGGTGAGAAGGCAGCAAATTTAATTAGTTATTCTACGATAGACCCTCCCTGAAGCCAGAAATGGCCGCTATTCGGAACGCGAGGTGAGAACGGCATCTCAGCAGACAGCGCACTCATCAAATTGCCATCAGCCTGATGCTGCTTTTCGTGCCTTGAGAAACTCTGGACCTGAAAATGGTGGCCAGGGGCCAGCAGTGTAGACCGCTGGGCAAACCCATTGGGATTTGAAACTTTCAACCTTCCAACGAAGAAGTTGTTATCGAGGAACTATAGAGTTGACTTCGGCCACCAAAGCGTTGACATTGACCGCCTACGTCAATTCTACCCCACATGGGTTCATTGTCTTACTAGGCGAAGTTGGCATTGCTACATGAAAACGAAGGTTTAATGAATACTAGCGGCACAACTGGTGCTATCCTCAAGTAACATAATGTCATCGTCCTCAAACCTACAATCCACAACAAATATATCAACCCATATCTACAATACAAGCCCTTGCTAAACCCTCTCAACGTCACAATCACATCACAGCCGCAGCCTTTTCCACTTGCCTTCCATTTGCGCAAGCAAATCGAGATTTCTCGATAGCGCCCGAGCCTGCAGCCTGACCAGCGGAGGGCATGTGGCGGCAGCAGCGGTGGGTTTCAAGACTTCCAAATATCACAGGCGCAGCCTTTTCCCCTTGGCTTCCTCTCGCGCATGCAAATCAAGATTTCTCGAGAGAGCCCGAGCCAGCAGCCTGACCAGCGGAGGACACGTGGCGGCAGCAGCGGTGGCACGAATGGTGCGGGAAGCTCCGGTGTCGGAGAGGAGGTTGATGTGGTGGGTGGTGTGGCGCGCGTGGGGCATGGTGAGCTGCAGGAGAGCAAAGGCTGCACAGGCGCGCAGAGAGGTAGAGGGACTTCGCAGCATGGCAACGAAACGAGCAATTTCCGCAGCACTGAAAGGAGGGGGGTTGGGGGAAGTTGAAATGGAAGGGCGGAATGTTTGGGAAGGGGAGGGAGGGATGTGTTGAAAAGTTGATGCTTGAGATGCCTCGAGAAGAGACGAAGCTGCAAGGGGATATGGTGATAAACTGGGCAGATTCTGCAGCTTGTTAATGATGCTGCAAGAGGCAGTACAGCAGGCTCTACACCACGTTTCTACCCCCAACACTCACCTCCACCTCAGCAGCCCCGCCTCCCGAATGCTGTGCATGAATTTTGAGAGTTCTTAAAACACCTCAAAGCCGCCTCAAAGCCACCTCCAGACTCTCACCTGCACCGGAGCAGCCCTGCTTCCTGAATGAGGCAGTTCTGGGAGAATTCCATCAGTGCCGCATCATCTGCTGCTGCCAGCCGTGCTCCCAAGTGCCGCGTGAACCCCGCCGACATGGGCGGCGGCAGATCTACTGAACCGGCACCTGAAGAAAAACCTGAAGCGTTGGACGGCCCAGGAGCAGGGGAGGTGAAAGTGCAGGTTCGGCCGTTCCGAGCCGCAGAGCCAGGTGTGGCCGAGCCTGTGGCCCCTCGACCCAGCACCGAACCGTCCTCTTCCTCATCAGTGTCTGATTCAATCGCTCCTCTCCCTCTTCCTCTCCCTTGTCCTCTCCTTGCCCTTCTGCTTCTGGTTGCTGCTGCTGTTCCAGGCAACCTATCCTCCTCATTCTCCTCCGCCTCTTCCTCCCCTTCCTCCTCCTCCAACGCCGAAGCCCTCCTCTTTCTCGACCCTCTTTCTCTATTCCTGCTCTCTCTGCTCCGAAACCCCCCTTCCCCCTCCTCCTCTATCGCCCTCCTCCTCTCCCGCTCCCTCTCCCTCACTCTCTCCTTCGCCTGCTCTGCCTCCTCCCGTTCATGCAGGAAGCATCTGAGAAACCACTCAATGACGTGCAGCCCAAGCTGCTGCTGCAGCTGCAAGGTTAGGGGATACTCCAGATCAGGCGCCACTGCTTCCGCCGCTGCCACCATTTCTGCATCTTTGCTGCGAGAAGGAAAATGGATGCAGATTTGGAAGGGAGGTGACTTATTGAGTAAACTGGTAAAGGAGCCCCAAACAGGTTAGGGGGTACTCCAGATCAGGCGCCACTGCTTCGGCCGCCGCGATCATTTCTGTATCTTTGCTGCAAGAGGGGGGATGAAGCCGGGTAGGGAGGGAGGTGAGGTGAGATATTGAGCAATCGGTACAGGAGCCTCAAACGGTTTTGCTGCAAGCAGCGAAGGGTATGCAGAGGAGAGCAAGCCGAGGCCGTAGATCCAACTATGGGAGAGGACACATGCCAACCCACATAGTAGCATTCAGCTGATACAAAACCTATCTGCCATCGCACATGTATGCAAGAGCAAGTGAGGCCATCGTCGAGGCATGCGAGAGGACACGCGGCAAGTGGCACGGTTGCCTGCCAACTGGCACGTTGTGAAATGAAGGTTTAGCCAAGAAAAAGGGCACATCCCAACCCACAAGGTGTGTTTAAAGTCGACAAAGAACCTACCTGCCATCGCACATGTATGCCAGAGCAAACGACGCCATGAATCCAGCCATAGGACACATGCCAACCAGCACGGTCGGCAGGAGGACGAGCGGCGGCAGCATGAGGAGGTAAGGGTACCGAGGGATTGTGTCACACACAATAGGGGGGCTTACCTTCCATCACACATGTGGGCTTACCTTCCATCACACATATGGGCTTACCTTCCATCACACATATGGGCTTACCTTCCATCACACATGTGGGCTTACCTTCCATCACACATATGGGCTTACCTTCCATCACACATATGGGCTTACCTTCCATCACACATATGGGCTTACCTTCCATCACACATATGGGCTTACCTTCCATCACACATATGGGCTTACCTTCCATCACACAATAGGGCTTACCTTCCATCACACATATGGGCTTACCTTCCATCACACATATGGGCTTACCTTCCATCACACATATGGGCTTACCTTCCATCACACATATGGGCTTACCTTCCATCACACATATGGGCTTACTTTCCATCAGCACATATGGGCTTACCTTCCATCACACATATGGGCTTACCTTCCATCACACATGTGGGCTTACCTTCCATCACATATATGGGCTTACCTTCCATCACACATATGGGCTTCCCTTCCATCACACATATGGGCTTACCTTCCATCACACATATGGGCTTACCTTCCATCACACATACGGGCTTACCTTCCATCACACATATGGGCTTACCTTCCATCACACATATGGGCTTACCTTCCATCACACATATGGGCTTACCTTCCATCACACATATGGGCTTACCTTCCATCACACATATGGGCTTACCTTCCATCACACATATGGGCTTACCTTCCATCACACATATGGGCTTACCTTCCATCACACATATGGGCTTACCTTCCATCACACATATGGGCTTACCTTCCATCACACATATGGGCTTACCTTCCATCACACATATGGGCTTACCTTCCATCACACATATGGGCTTACCTTCCATCACACATGTGGGCTTACCTTCCATCACACATATGGGCTTACCTTCCATCACACATGTGGGCTTACCTTCCATCACACATGTGGGCTTACCTTCCATCACACATATGGGCTTACCTTCCATCACACATATGGGCTTACCTTCCATCACACATATGGGCTTACCTTCCATCACACATATGGGCTTACCTTCCATCACACATATGGGCTTACCTTCCATCACACATATGGGCTTACCTTCCATCACACATATGGGCTTACCTTCCATCACACATATGGGCTTACCTTCCATCACACATATGGGCTTACCTTCCATCACACATATGGGCTTACCTTCCATCACACATATGGGCTTACTGTGAAAGTAGCAAATTGAACAAGTGATTAGATTAGAGGAACAACCTAGCATACATAGTTCGAAGGGAAGGTTGGAAGGGAAGGATGAAAGTGACCATAGGTTGGGTTGACCTCACTTGGGGAAGTGAGGGAACCATAGGTCAAGTGGGTTGGGTTGCCCACACTTTGTAGAAGTGAGGCAACCCTAGGCCCACTTGGCTTGGGGTAACCTCAATTGTGGGAAGTGAGGTACCCACAAGTCAAGAGGGTTGCATTTGGGGGCTCCACCACAATTGGGTGGATTGGCACCCCAAAGTGCAAGACTACACCCAAAGTTGGGTGTAGTCCCAACCCAACTGTACACCACAATTGGTGTACAGTCACATGTGTTGGCATGCTACACAATATATATTTTAACACAACCCCTTAGCATGCTAACACAAGAAGAGAACAACCCCTGAATCAAGGGGCGCCCGGGCGAGCAAGGCCAATGAGTCGGAGGAAGGCAGAGTGCGCGGGGCGAAGGAGGGCCTTAGTGAAGATGTCGGCCAAGTTGGCCTCGGTTGCAATCTTGCGAACGGCAATGGGGCCCTTCTGGACGAGCTCGCGAACGAAGAAGTAGCGGAGTTCGATGTGCTTGGAGCGGGCGTGATAGACGGGGTCCTGAGTGAGATGGATGGTGCTGGCGTTGTCGCACCAGAGAGTGGGGCACGTCTGGGGGGCGCCAAGCTCCGCAAGAAGGAAGCAGAGCCAGCGCGACTCCTGGGCGACCATGGTGCCAGCGTAGAGCTCGGCTTCGCAGGTGGAGAGAGAGATGGCGGAGGAGCGGGTGGAGCGCCAGCTGATGAGGCCGCTGCCAAGGGTGAAGCCGTAGCCCTGGGAGGAGCGGCGGTCCGGCTGCGTGTCAGCCCATGAGGAGTCACTGAAGCCCGAGAGAAGGGGACGGGAAGGGCCGCCGAGGGTGAGGGCAAGGTCCCTGGTCCCGCGAAGGTAGCGGAGGACCCGCTTGGCAGCTTTCCAGTGCTCCTCAGAGTGACGACCGGTGCCGACAAAGCGAGCGAGCACGCTGATGGGGTAGGCGAGGTCGGGGCGGGTGCACATCATTGCGTACATCAAGGACCCAACGAGCTCGGCATAGGGGTGGGGGGAGGAGGTGGGGGAGGTGGGTGGAGCGAGTTGGTGACCGAAGGGGAGCAGGGTGGAAACAGGCTTGGCTTGCGCCATGTCGAACTTCTCCAAGACCTGGCCGATGTAATGGGACTGGGAGAGGGTGATTGTGCGAGCAGGGCGGTTGCGCGTGATGGTCATGCCGAGGTAGTGAGTGAGGGCGCCAAGGTCCTTGCACTTGAGCCGCTGCTGCAGGGACAGCTTCACCTGCTCCATGTCGGCCTTGGTGTCAGAGAGCAGGATCATGTTGTCGACATATACCAGAATGAAGAAGCGGCGGGGGGAGGAGCGGATGAAGAGGCTGGCGTCGGAGTGGGAAGCAGAGAAGCCGAGGGACCCCAAGGTGGCAGCCAGCTTCGCATGCCACTCACGCGGTGCCTGCTTCAAGCCGTAGACGGGGCGACGCAGCTGCCAGACAGTGTTCTCAGGAAAGGCTGCGTGGAACCCGGGGGGTCGCCGGAGGAAAATGCGCTCATGCAGGTCGCCCTGCAGGAACGCATTGGAGACGTCCATGGAGTCGATTTCCATGTCGTCACGTGCACCAATGTCCATGGCGGCGCGAAGGGTGGGTGGTTTGGCGGTGGGGGCGTAGGTGAACCAGTAGTCCTCAGCCCAAGTCTGCGTGAACCCCTTGGCGCAGTAGCGGGCCTTGTACACTGGTTCCTCGCCCGGCAGCTGCTTCACCCGAAAGAATGCCGTCAACGAGATTAGCGCCAGCAGGGAGGGGGACATCGACAAAGGAGTCGTTGCGAATGAAAGCCTCACACTCCAGGAAGATCGCTGCTATCCATTTATCCGCATCAGGGCAGGTGATGGCTTCCTGGAAGGTGGAGGGAGTGAAGATGGTGGGGGTAGTAGTGGCGCCAAGGACAGGAAAGCCCAGGAAGTCAAGGTAGAGGGCGGCAACGAATGGAGTGTGCTCCCGAATGTTGAGGAACTCCTCATGGGAGTCCTCAAGGAGCTGAATGGAGGCAGGAGGAGGAGCCCCAAGGATTTTGTCCACCGAGCGGGTATGGATGTAAGGGAGGAGGAAGGGGGAGGAGCGGGAAGTGGCACGGCGCCGCTGCTGCTGCTGGTGCTGCTGCTGCTGATGCTGCTGCTGCTGCTGCTGTCCCGGCTGCTGCTGATGCGGCTGCCCCGGCTGCTGCTGCTGCTGCTGCTGCTGCTGCTCCGGCTGCTGCTGCTGCTGCTGCTGCTGCTGCTGCTGCTGCTGCTGCCCCGGCTGCTGCTGCTGCTGCCCCTGCTGCCGTTGCTGGTGTTGCTCCCGCTGCTGCTGCTGCTGCTGCTGCTGGTGCTGCTGCTGCCCCTGCTGTTGCTAATCCGGCTGCTGCTGCTGCTGCTGCTGCCCCTGCTGTTGCTGATCCGGCTGCTGGAAAGGAGGAGAATGAGAGGAGGGAGAGGGGGGAG